AAGATGTGCCAGACACTGTGCTAAGTGCAGAGGATACAATTAATAAAAACAGTCTCTGCCCTCAATGAGTTTACAATCTAAAAGGAGAGACAATATACAAAAGGATGTAGGAAAGGGGAAGGGGGCAGAATACCAGGGAGTAACTGGCATGAGGGTATCTTATTCCATATGATTGAAACCAGACAGGATAGCAGATGCAAAGTGGGGTGATCTGAAAGTCCAATTTCTGCCCTCTATAAAAAAAGGAATTGGGAGGATTTTGATACTCTGCCCTCTAGCCCTTCAGTCAGTGGGAAGGGAAGGCTAAGGGAGGTGGAGTCAATCAAGTGTTCAGTCAACAACATAGTAGTGAGTTTAGATGTGATGAGCTCATCCTGAGTGTAGCAAAGTGGAGTCCCCCTGTGCTTCTCATTTGATCTCATCCAATCTCCTCTAAGAACTTTACCTTTATTAACTCCTTCCTTTTTCTTACTTTAATAGTCTTCATCCACTGGTTCTTTTCCTGGTACCTACAAATAGGCCCAGGTCTTACCTATGTTTAAAAAAGCAAGTCCTTCATTTGGCCCTGCCATCCTCTCAAGCTGTTGCCCTATATCTCTTTTCTTTCACAACCAAATTCATTGTCGGTACTTGTTTCTTTAATTTGGTCTCTTCTCAATCCCTTGCAATCTAGTTTGTGACCCTATCACTCAACTGAAACTGTTTTCTTCAGGTTTACCAACATTCTCTTAATTCTTTCAGGATAAATTATCTGATAATTGCTCCATCCTGCGGTTTCCCTTTTATTTCTTTCTTTTAAATTTGTTCAACTCTGAGAGAGAAACATTAAAGTCTCCTACTACTATTGCATGTATTCTTTACATATATACACAAATACACACATATATATGTATATATGCATATACAGTAGATGAATCATTTTTCTTTTTTTAATTTAAAAATTAAACTATTTTATGCATATTTGTTTAATATTGATACCAGTTCATTGTTTATAATTCTTTAAAATATAATGGTTTTCCATTTATCTCTAGCAATATTGCAAACTTTTTTTTTTTTTTGCTTTGGCTTATAGCAAGATTGCAATTTCTGGTGTGGTTTTTTCACTTGTTGAATCATGAATTTTGTTCAAGTATCTCATTTTCATTCTACATATGTCTTTAATTTTTATATGTGTCTCTCGTGTGTGTGTGTGTGTGTGTGTGTGTGTGTGTATCAGATTGATGGGTTTTGTTTTCTTATTTAGTCTGTCACTTTTTTCTTAGATGGTTTAAACCATTTGCTTTTAAAGTTATGGCTGTCAGGCATGTGTTTTCTTCCACTTATTTCTTTAATGTTTTTTTTTTAATTTTCATTCTCTCTTAAGCTAATACTTTCTCCCAACAATCTTGCTTAAACTACTTTGATGGTAATATGATTCTATAGGCTCTCTCCCCCTCCCCCACTCTCATTTGCCTATCATTCCTCAAGTTCTTCAAATTTGCTTAAATAACGAATTTTTTAATTTTTTATTTAGTTAGCTATTTCTTCCATACTTTTGTTCTTTTTCCCCATTCAGTTAAAAATTTACTTCAAAACCTTCCCCTCACATTTGACCTCTTATTTTTATTTTCTTTTATTGTTCCTTTATCAAAAAAGTTTGTTTTTACTTTGTTCTCATTATCTTTTTTTAATCTTTCTAGTCTGTTCTCAATTTTGTTTTTGTAGTTAAAGCCATCTATAGTCATATGAAAAAATGCTCTAAATCTTTATTAATTAGAGAAATGCAAATCAAAACAACTCTGAGGTACCACATCACACCTATCAGATTGGCCAACATGACAAAAAAGGAAAATGATAAATGTTGGAGAAGATGTGGGAAAATTGGAACACTAATACATTGTTGGTGGAGTTGTGAAATGATCCAACCATTTTGGAGAACAGTTTGGAACTATGCCCAAAGGGCTACAAAAATGTGCATGCCCTTTGATCCAGCAATAGCACTTCTAGGGCTATATCCCAAAGAGATCAAACAAATGGGAAAAGGACCCACATGTACAAAAATATTCATAGCAGCTCTTTTTGTGGTGGCAAGGAGTTGGAAATTGAGAGGATGCCCATCAATTGGAGGATGGCTGAGCAAGTTGTGGTGTATGAATGTAATGGAATACTATTGTGCTATAAGAAATGATGAACAGGCTGACTTCAGAAAAACCTGGAAAGACTTACATGGTCTGATGCTGAGTGAATTGAGCAGAACCAAGAGGACTTTGTACACAATAACAGCCACATTATGCAATGACTAATATTGTTAAACTGAACACTTCTCAGCATTACACGGATCTAAGACAGCTCCAGAGGCCTCGGGATGGAAAATGCTGTCCACATCCAAAGAAAGAACTATGGAAGTCAAATTGCTATCACTTATTTTTACCTTCTGTTGAGTTTTGTTTCATCTTTCTGATGGTTCCTCCTATTGGTTTTAATTTTTACTTACAACTTCATTAATGTGAAAATATGTTTAATAGGAATGTAAACGTAAAGCCTATATCAGATTGTGCGCCACCTGGGGGGAGGGTAGGGGGGAGAAAAATTTTTAACTCAAAAGCATATGGAAGTGATTGTTGATAAATCAAAATAAATTAATAAAAATTTTTTTAAAATTTTGTTTTTGTAAGTGATACCTTTATTTCTTGCTTTAGGCTCTCTGGGTCCCTCGTGGGGTTAAAGCTTTTGAAGAATGAGGTTTAAAAGTTCTCTATTCCAACTAATTTTGGTATTATTGCCTTTGTAGAGCTTGCCCCATCTTCCCCTTTTATTCCTGCTATAGTTCGATCTTAGAAATATCAGTTGGTGTGAGAATAATGTTGAATAGCACTATGTGGCAGAAGTTAACCCGTGTTTTGAATTATGTGTCCCAATCCCAACCCCTACCCTCATTAGTAGTACTATCTCATATCTAGCTCACTATCCCCTCAACAATTCTGAGTGTCTCCTGTCCCTAGGAATTCACATTTCCTTTCTTGTGGGTTGGGATGCTGCCCATAGGCATTACACTTTTTCAGAGAAGGTGGCCTCCCAATGCATAAATTCAGTCAAAACACAACATGAGGTCCCTATATTCCATAATAGGTATACATCCCCAAAGTCAGACTTTTTTCTCCTCTCCCCACCCTTTTCCTTATGCTGCCTCTATCATTTTCCCACAGCCTCCCTTTGGTTGGGAGGTTATAAAATCAGCATCCTTTCAGTGTCTGCTCAAAGACGTGTTAGGTGGTTTCTTGTTTCTCACCTCTCCCCTCCCCATTTAGGCAACCTCCTCTTTGCAACTTCTTTCCATAAAAGAAAGTAATTCACTTACAGGGGGTCAAGGCATTTAGTCAAAGATACTTGAGTTCTACCTTAGCTACTTCTGATTCTTTAAATTTTAATTAAAACTGTATTACCTTATGTCCCTTTTTAATCTTTTGGTCTATCTCTGTTTTTTATTTTTATCCCATAAATCAATCTTCATTTTTTAAAACAATAACTACAAAACATGAGATAAATGACTTCATTATTTATTATTTTCTTGATTGCTGTATGTATTTACTTTTCTTGTGTTTCTGTCTCGGATGCTTGGAAGTCAAATATTCTGCTCAGATTGTTTTTGTTTAAGGGATGTTTCTCTTTTGTTGAACATTCATATTTTTCATTGTTTTTTTTCAGGTTATGTCATTTTCTGTTGCAACTCCTTTACTTTTTTGCAATACACTATTCCATTCCTTTCTGCAATTTCTCTTGACTGTGGAATAATCCCATTTTAATTTTCTTACTTTCATGTTTAGAGGTCTTTCACTAAACCGCTTACAAAACTTGTTTTTGTTACTGAAATTGTTAAATTTGATTACTATATATGTTGGAATTTAGATCATGACGATTTTTTTTTCTGCAAGTGGTCTACGAATTCTCCTGATTTATGTTTGTGACCTATGTTCAGAAGTTCTGGACAGCTGTCTTATATTATTTTCTGCATTATTATATACAGAGTTGATTTTTTTAATTTGCCATGCTTGTCTGAGACCTATAATTCTTAAATTATCTCTGTGCATTCTACCTTCAAGGCCAGTTGTTTGGGCTTATATAGAATGCATATGCTCTTTTCAGGATATTGTCTTCCATTTCGCTCCTGCCATATTTTCCTCTGCTCTAATATTTTTGTGTTCCAACTCTACTATTCAAGTCAAATCAACAAGCATTTACTATTTAACTGTGTACCAAGCACTGTGCTAAGCACTGGGGATACAAATATAAATAGAAATAAATACCAAAAAAAAAAGTTCCTACCCTCAAGAACATTACATTTTAATGGGGGAAGACAACACATAAAAAAGAAGCTGAAAAGGAAGAGGGGAGGGAAAGAACCATGATGACAAAGTTTAAGGAGTCAGAAACAGAGTTAGGAAAGGAATGCCTGGGTTCTCCCTCAAAATAGAAGTTCTGGGAGGAACTCACCAATGCGAGAAGTGGGCTAAAAGGGCAGAGGGGTGTTTCAAGATGAGAAGGTCAAAGGGCTGAAGGAACTTCCAGGGTGAGAAGGCAACTGAGACGTGGCATCAAAATCTGGAGAATTGAAAGCAAATCTGGAAGAGGAATCTCTTATTTCTTTATAGAAATTCTCTGTCATGGATTCAATGTCTTAAAGTCTCTAATTTTGCATTTTAATTCTATTTTCAGAGCTTTAATTTCTGACCTACACTCATTCCTAATTTTCTCTTTTATTAATTCCAATAGAATATAAAGTCCTTAAAAGTAAGTATTGTTTCATTATTTGTATCCCCAGTCCCAGAGCCTGGCACATAGTGCATACTTAATAAATATTGGATTGATTGATTTCTCTTTTGAACCATTCTGTAGTTTCTTGATGTTTAATGTTCTCCTGGGAGTCCATAGAATTCTGCCTTTCCTCAGGCACTATTATTGCCTCACTTTTCTTTACACTCTAATATTTTCTAAAACAATTCTATATTCTATTTGAAGTTTTACTCATTCTCTCTTTTGCTTTTCAGATCCTCTCTGTTGATTTAACATTTGCTTGTGCTCTGGGCTTTCATAGGTGTTTCTCTCTCAGTATTTTTGGCACTTCTACTTTTTTCTTATATTTCCTATCTTTCACTTTCAGGTCCCTTCCCCTTTGCTGGTGAGCAGATTTCCCAAGGCTGCCTCAGCTTCCTTTTGTTGGAGGATAGAGGGTTTACCTGATTGTCCTCAGTGATCACTTGTAAACAGGACTTTTCCCAGCTGAGTTTGTCACCTTTCCTTCAAGCACAGCAGATAAACCTTCGCGGGCATCCTTCCCAATTCCTATTTCTACTCTCTTCTTTTCCTTCCCTTATACTGTATCAGAATATATTATATAATCAGCATCTTTGCCTTCTTATAGGATGGAGGTGAGGTTGGATTTGACCAGAGTCATATTTCAGAAGCTGTAGGATCCAAGACATGGGTCCCCAGGCAGAATCCTGTGAGTTTGCCTTTCTTCTCTGCTATGGGTACCCAGAGGCTGGTGGGAGAGGGCTGTGAAGTGAGTTCTCCAAGTATTAAGAGTTTTCAGACATCCATTCATAATAATTTTACCCTTTTCCAGGTTGTTTCCTTTCTTATGGATTTAGCTATCATTCTAAATTGGTTGCATTTTCTCTTTTTTTTGGAAGGGGACAGTAAAACTTAGATAGTTTTATAAATACTAACTAATCTGTCATCTATTGACCATTAAGACCTCTTCCTCCCCTCTCAAAAAAAAGTATAAAATCAAATTTTTAGCCCTAATTTTACTTCTCTTCTCTAGCTTTTGACACTATTGAGGGAGCAGAAAGGAATGGGCATTTAGTAAGAGCCTACTATGTGTGAGGCATGCTAAACACTTTACAAATATCATCTTATTTGATCTCTGCTGATTAGCACTTCTTCCAGGATACTCCTTCCACCTGGCTTCCATGAAACTGCCTTATTCTGGTGTCTACCTACGTGTCTGACCATCCTTTGCTAGCCCCCCCCTCCATATACATATATATGCATATAGATCCACTCTACCTTGGTTAACTCCTCAGTTCCCATGGGTTCTAAGAATATCTTTTATACAGATGAATCCTACTCTATATACACAGTCCTGATCTTTTCCTAAATTCCAGTCTCAGATGCCTTCTGAATATTTCTGCCCAGATATTCTTTAGTTATCTCCAACTCAACATGTTCAAAACAAAGATCATTGTATTTCCACAAAATTCATCCTATAAACTTTCTGATTTCTGTTGAAAACACTACCATCCTTCCAGTCAATCAAGTTAATAAACCCAGAGTCATCCTTGAGCCTTCTATCCATTTCACCCTCTATATCTAAACAATTACCAACTTTTGTCGGTATTACCTCCACAACATCTCTTATTCCCATCCCCTTCTCTCTATTCACAAATTCTCTATTTTAGTTGAGGCCTTTATCACCCCTTCCCAGACTATTGAAATATCTTCTTAATTGATCTCTATGCCTTCAACCCTTCCCCTCTTCATCTCTTATCTGTACAGATTCCAAATTGATGATATTCTTATAGCACAGATATAACTATTTCACTTACTTTCTGAAAAAAAAAAAAAGCTTTAGCAGCCCCAATTACATCTAGAATCAATTATAAATTCCCTTGGCATTTAAATCTCTTCAAAATCAAACTCCAACCTATCTATCCAAAATGATTTCACATTACTCCTCCTCACACAGTCTGTGTTCCAGAAAAAGTGGCCTACATACTGTTCCTAATACTTGACATTCCATCTCCAGTCCCTCAACCTTCACAGATGCTATACCTCATTCCTGAACTCTCTCTCTATTCTCTGAATCCCTCTACTCTCCTCTGCCTCTTGAATCATTATCTCCCTTCAAGGCTTAACTCAGGTACCACATCCTACTTGAGGCCTTTCTCCATCCCCCACCCCCAGTTATTAGTATTCTCCTCCCCAAAATTACTCCGTATTTGATATGTGCTTAATTTGGATTTACTTATCTTTGTAGTGTTGTTACCCATCCCACCCCCAACCCCATAGATCTATAAGCTCCATGAGGGAAAGGATTGTTTCATTTTTGGTTTTGTGTCTTCAGCACCTAGGATAGTACCTTACACTCAGTAAATACTTAATAAATTCTTGTTAGATTGAATTCTGTGTGATAAGGCTCTAAAGGTCAGCTGAAGCCAGATGATGCACATCCTCTTCTCAGATTAAGATTGTCCCATTGGGCAACAGGAAGCTATTGAAAGTTTCTGAAAAGGAGATTAGATTGATATGAGCCAGGCTTTAGGAAGGCTAATCTTATGGCAATGTACCAAACTAAACTCATTTTCTTTTCTTAAGTAGGGTTACTAAATTAGTATTTCTGATGTCTTTCTTTGATGCCATCTTGTGGCACTGAAGTAACCCTGGATTTTTGAATACTAATAACTGGGGGTGGGGGATGGAGAAAGGCCTCAAGTAGGATGTGGTACCTGAGTTAGGCCTTGAAGGGAGATAATGATTCATGAGGCAGAGGAGAGTAGAGGGATTCAGAGAATAGAGAGAGAGTTCAGGAATGAGGCATAGCATCTGTGAAGGTTGAGGGACTGGAGATTGAATGTCAAGTATTAGGAACAGTATGTAGGCCACTTTTTCTGGAACATAGACTGTGTGAGGATGAGTAATGTGAAGGGGAGCTTGGGTCTAGTAACAGACTGAGTCTATCATCGGATGACCAACTTAGCTACAGAGGCACATTACAAGGTTGGCAATAGGGTGGTAATATGTTCAACCAGAGCAACCCATGAAAAACTAGAGAAGAACAAATCACTTAGGAGAATACTGAAAAAACAGAATATTGGGGTTTCAGGTACATTGGCAAAGTCTCTCATGCTCTCCTTTTAGGTCTAAGCTGGGAAGGTGTGGGCCCAAAGTTTGTAGAGTTAGGTAGATTCATTGCTGTTCAAACAACCAAACCTACAAAGAGCTGGTTAATGGAACAATTTCAACCTGGAAGAAGGTCTCTAGTACATGTTACAGGGCTCTGCCATCAGCCTTGTTCTGTATAACATTTTTATCAATGGCTTAGCTGAAGGCATAGATGGAACGCTTTATCAAATTTGCGGATGGCACAAAGCTGGGAGAAAGAGCTAATATGCTAGATGTGAGAATCAGTGTTCAAAAAGATTTTGACAGGCTGGAAGGATGGGCTGAATATAATGAGATGGAATGTAATAAGGATATAAATAAAGTCTTGCATTTTAAGTTTTAAAAAAAAATCAACTGCACGGTTCAGAAAGAGGAAGATGTCCAGTTCATGTGAAAGACTAGGGCTTTAATTGACTGCCAGCTCAATAATGTGACATAGCAGTCAAAAAGCCAATGTGATCTTAGACTTAAATTAAGTCCCAGTATGCAGAACTAAGCTATGACAGTCACACTAGACTTTTCATCAGGTAGACCAGATCGCAGAGATTCAGAGTTTTAGAGTTTGTAGGGAGCTCTGGCACTTGAAGTCCCTCACAACTTGGCCCTCTTTCACCTTTCCAGCTTCATCACACATTCGTCCCACTCCAGCATTCTCTCATCTACCCACACTTGCCTTCTTGCTGCTGGTCAGACATGACCCTCCATCTCTCTTTCCATGCCTTTGTACTGCTATCCTCCATGCCTATGATGTGTTCCTCACCTCTGCTTCTTAGATGCCCTGGTTGCTACCTGGTACGTGAAGCCTTTCCTGATTCTCTTTTTAGCAGTAACTTCCTCCCAAAACTTAGCCCATATCTATTGTGTAAGTGCTTGTGTGTGCACATTGTCTCTCCTCACTACCTGCCTCACAGGCAGGGACTATTTCATTTTTGTCTTTGAATACCTAGCATGTTGCCTGAGCACATAGTAGATGTTTAATAACTGTCTGTGACTGATTAATAAACTATATAATGTTAGAGATAGGAGGGACTTTAGACTATCAAACATTAGAGCTGGAAGGCACCTGAATGATCACATAGCAACAGGTATATTCGGCATGGCAAAATTGACATAGTACCTATGATCTACTTCTTTTTTCTCTCTGCACTGACTCATTCATCCCAGCCCGAACTCACTTTGGCAGGTCAGGGTAGGGAGATTTCAAAGAAGGACTGGGTATGGACAGGCACAACATAGCTAACATCCACTGGGGGCAGGGGGTAGAATAGTCCTAGTAGGAGAAATCTAATGTTGTGGAAATATACACCTACACTCACCGTTTGGCCAAAATTGCTAGGTAAACAAAATGGTCTGGCAAAAATTAGGTATAGGCTAACATCTCACATTGTATACCAAAATAAACAGCAAATAGATACATGACTTAGACATAAAATGTAACATCATAAGCAAATTAGAGGAGTAAGGTAGAAATTACTTTTTGCGACTTTGGATAGGGAAAGAGTTCAGTGGTACACTGAATAGACCACTGGATGTAGAGTCAGAAAGACTCAAGTTCAAATCTTGCCTCTGACATTTACTACCTGTGTGACCCTAAGCAAGCTACTTAACTGTTATCTATCTCAGTTTCCTCAGTCTAAAATGGGGATGATAATAATAGCCCCTACCTCTCAGGGTTGTTGTGAGGATCAAATGAGATGATATTTTAAAAGTACTTTTGAAAGCTTTGCTCATTATTATTGTTATTATTGTTGTTATTAATGACCAAACAAGGGATTGAAAGAATCCTACAAAGTAATATGGACAATTTGGTTATATAAAATTTTGAAGGTTTTGCACAAACAAAACTAATTCAGCTAAAATAAGAAGTGAAGAACATTTGCAGATATTTTCTCTGATAAAGATTTCATATCCAAGATGTATAGGGAACTGATTTAAATTTATTAGAATTAGAGGCAGTCCCCTGTAGATAAAAGTAGAAAGACATAAGCAGGTAGTTTTCCTTAATAGTATTTTTTTTTCCAATTACATGTAAAGATAGTTTTCAACATTCATTTCTGTGAAATTCTGAGTTCCAAATTTTTCTCCCTCCTTCCATCCCCTCCCCAAGACAGCAAGCAATCTAATATAGGTTATACATGTACAATCATGTTAAACATATTTCCACATTAGTCATGTTGTAAAAGAAGAATCAGAACAAAAGGGACAAATCACGACAAAGAAAAAACAAAAAAAGTGAAAATAGTATGCTTCAATTTGCATTCAGACTCTATAATTCTTTCTTTGGATGTGGTTAGCATTTTCCATCACGAGTCTTGGAACTGTTTTGGATCATTGTATTGCTGAGAAGAGCTAAGTTTATCACAGTTAATCATCGCACAGTGTCACTGTTGCTGTGTACAATATTCTCTTGGTTCTGCTCACTTCACTCAGCATAAGTTCATGTAAATCTTTCCAGGTTTTTCTGAAGTCCGCTTGCTCATCATTTCTTACAGCACGATAATATTCCATCACATTTATATACCACAACTTGTTCAGCCATTCCCCTATTGATGGGCA